AATATCATTATTTATAGAAAATATATGCTTCAGATGATATTAGTCGTAAGGATAATATGCAGAACTGGGGTATGAACAATAACAATTGGATTAAACTTTGTGATAAAGATTTTGTGGAAAAATATAATGACCCTGAACCTTTACAATATTTTAGAAGACTTGCCTATTATCGAAGACAAGATCTAGATAAAATAAAGGCTTTGGAAAATCTGAAAATCAAAGAATCAATGCAATAGGAAGATTCACATGATTCTATAGATCTGGTCTCAAATGATTTACATAAATTTTATTTGACAAAACAATAGGAAGCAGTACATGGTCTTTTCTAATCAGTAGGATTCAGTAGTATTGATGATACAAAGATTCTTTCTAGCAATGATGTGACAAAAGTTTTTAAACAATCACAGGAAAAAATTGTTAAAATCCAAAAAGATGTCTTGCTACTCTTTGGCTTTAAATCTCAAGCTAAGAGAACTCCTGATCTCAAAGCTATAGTAAAATTGATTAATGCAATAGCAAGAAATTGGTGTAGTTATACTATCAAGAATAAGCAAAAAAGAGAAGAACCAAAAGATCAAAGAGTATAGAAAAGCACTTATTGGATTTATTGTATACCAGATAATGGAGCTAGGCTTATAACTCAAGAAGAACTAATGGATATAAAGTCGAATACTTCTAATTATCACCTTATAACTCCAATTCTTCTATCATATAAGTCAGAATCAATTAATAAAACTCAAAAACTTTTCGATTCAATACCTGTTACTACTGATATAGCTATTCCAAAATCTAGTAATGAGGTTTGTAAAGAAAGTTCTTACAATAATATAGTTAAGAAATCTGTAACAAATTTGTCACAATTGTCTTCTTTAGTATTAACTCAAAATCAATTGAATGATGCAGAGCAATTCTCAAATATTACTGAAACTAAGAAAGAGATATCTGAATCCTTAGATATGATATGCTCACCTCTAGCAATTTCTCTATCTTCAGAATTTCTTATTAAAAATGAATCTGATATAAATATACTTATCTACTATTTACAACAAAAATTTCAAATATCTCAAGAAAGATTAGAATAATGAAAACCAAGATTGTCTTTGAAATGCGGTATAATAATAATTATTAGAAAAAAGAGCATAAGAGTATAGACGAGATTGCTTTTCTGAAATATAAACAAAATTTCGAGGCTAAAATGAAGGTTCCTACTACTCTATACAAAAAAGAATTAAAAACCTGCTCTTTGGTCCTCATTGAATATGCATAACTGTTGTTCAAGATAATACAATCTAGTTAAGTAGTAATTTTTGAAGTAGAGAAATTGCTACATTCAGCTAGTTATATATCTAGGTAAAGAGATTTATGTTACTTTTACAATAAGCATAAGAAAAAATTTAAATAAAAAATTAATATTCTGATACCTGAATCATATAAAGAGGTTTTTATATTATACGATTTTAGATAATAAAATTTAGATAATGAAAGAGGTTTCTGGATCATAGTAGCAGTGGCTATTATCTGATTTGTGTACTTTACTGCCAGATCGAAATGAAATTTTAATAAGTACTTCCAGTATATAGATTAAGGTAAGTATGAGTTAGAGACTCAAAGCTTAGCTTCCTCGATAACTATTTTTGTGTTATATAATTTCAATCAGAGTACAGTTTAGAATAAGTGGTATGCTTTAAGTAGTACTAGTAGAGACCACTTATGCTAAAAAATGTTGGCACCAAAGATTTTTTAGTTTGAGTAATATTTCGAGTAAAAAAAAGTGGCCCACAAAAGAATAATTATTACAGATATATATAAAATAAAATTGTACTTTAATAGGCTACCAGATAAGGATAACAATTCAGCACGTAGTGTCTCATTCTTGATTAATAATCAAGTATATTATATAAGTATTATTTCGAATAAAAAAAGTGGCTCACAAAGGTAAAATTATTACAGATATATATATAAAATAAAATTATACTTTTGTGGGCTACCAGGTAAGGATAACTATTCGGCACTATGTGCCTCATCCTTGAGTAATATTTGAGTGCATTATACAAAACTAGAATACAAATACTATTTTAGTACTACGTATCTCAACTCTGGCCCTTATTGAGGAATTAACCAGAAAGCTAGAGTACTATGTGCTCAGTTCGAGCATAGCTCTCATATCAGGTCTATAAATAACGACATACAACTAAATACATTATTAGTATATTAGTTATTTTTTGTTTAACAAAATTTTAGCAAGATTCGTTATCACTCGAATGATGATGAACTCGTAAACTAATCATTACTCAAATGATGATACATATATGTCCCTATCGTAGAGTTGGAGGCACAAGAAATTTTAGAGGCATGCCTAGGGGGCATGCCCTTGCAAAGGGCATGCCTCTTTGTGCCTAGGCATGTACCTTGTAAATATAAATTATATTCTATCGATCTAATAAAATAAATTGCTATATCTTCCAAAAATTCTCGACACCTATGCTCGTATTTTGTATCCGTTGATTGTCTATATCCTGAATTTTTCTGATATACGTTAGATCTAAGTTTACTTATACTCTATAGTTTATTAACTTTAACATTAGATCTAAATATACTTATACTCTATTCTCTATTTAACTTTAACATTAGTATTAGATCTAAGATCTAATTGAATAGATGCTTAGACGTAGAACTCCAAAACTGATCAACTACTGAAAAATTAGCTAATATACTAGATCATTCTTATAAAGGTTTGAAAAATTAAAAAACGAGATTAATTGTAACCAAAAATTCCTTAACTTCTTGATCCTAACATAACTTATTTTTAGAGCCTTAGATGCAGAATCTCAAACCGACCAACTGCTAAAGAATTAGTAATACGTTAGATTATTATTATAAAATTTGAAAAGTGAAAAAACTGAATTAATTAATTCAATCAATTATCAAACACAAGCCATTTACACAAGTCAGCTTTTAAATCTTTCTGAACCAGGTAATAAATAATAGTTATCCTGAGCAGTTAGGTATAAGTAGAATTTTGCAGTAAAGTATAAGTGCCGTGTAAGCAGCTAATTATACTTTACTACAAAATTTCGCTTATATCCAACTATATATGATATAACTGATTTATTCCTCTATCTATACAACGTACGTGATATAACTTTCAGATACTTATTTTAGAGAGAAACCTGTTTTTGTGTATTGTTATTAAGATTAAATAGAATAATATACTCAATCACTTAAATTAAATAGATATAAAGCCACCTTAAAAATAAAAAAAAAAAAAAAAAAAATTAAATAGATATATGGTCAACTCTTTCTATAATGAACTGATAGATCTAGAAGAAAAAAAAGGTCGTTATGGAAAATTACTATTTTTCTTAAGAAAACATTGCACTTTCTATACTGAACTATTATAAGAATTTTAAATTTTTGAGTTCGTTATATTCAGAGTCGACTGTATATCTAGTAGAATTAAGTACATGAAAAAAGTTATGTAGATGGAGTTGATCAGAAAATAAGTAACTATATTTCTTAGCAAGTTGATCTATTGGTCAAGTTGAAATTCCTGATTGTGAGCAATGTTTAATTATTTATAATAAAAAATTTATTATTCATTTTATATTGTAGTTAGATTATAATTCAGTATATTATGAAAGTTTATATAAAAACATATATCATTATTAATCTTATATATAAAATTTAAACACTTATTTATTCTAATTTATTAATTATTGTTAATAATATCATTAATAGACCATTCGTCTTCTATCGGTATATTACTTTGCTCTGAGACAAGTGCTTCTTAACTTGTCTCAAATACTTCGAAGTTGAAAAATTCTTCTATAATATACGTCTCGTCTATATTCACTATAACTTCTTCCAATTCTTCATTCAATTCCTCTGTTAGATTATCCTCTTCATCAAAAAAAATATCAACATTTTCTTCATCATGGATTGAGGGCACAGAGGTTGTTTTACTTTTCTTTTTATTGAATATAGCTTTTTTTTTAAGCTCGCTTTTAAGCTGTTCAATTATTGAGAGATTATCAGGAGTTAATCTGTTTCTTACTTTTGATTTAACTAATTCTAATAATGAAAAAAGTTGTTCACAGCTAGCTACATAGGGAATGATAGCAAGAACTTTTATTGCAAAGCGACGTAGAAGAGGAAAATTTCCAGTAAATTTAGTTCAGAACGACCGTAAAGATTGTGAAGAATCAGAAAAAGATACGTCGAATAGAGGGTGATTATTCTTATAATTAATTAGTTCATTAAGCAAAATAGAAATATCTCTTTTACTAAAATTCCATATTTTAGCTAATTTAAGTGAAGCCTGAATTATTTTATTTTCATTCATTTTCTTAGATATTGCAACCCACTTATGATTCAGAGAAAGGAAAAGCACAATAAAAAAAATATTACTGTCAAATTCTCTCGCACATTTGCTAATAATAGTAAGCGCGTGAGCTTAAAGACCAGTAATATAGTCTTCAAGCTGAGATACTTGTCTATGTATATAGATAAGTTCTTTAAATATATTTGCTAGAATGAAGTCGTTTGACTCTAGCTTTCCAATAGCATCAACTAT